ATGTTTCTGGCTGACATTGATTCAATGTTGTTTCAATCATTCTGTGCTATCTGGGTTGTAGGAAAGATTTGCTTTTCCCAAGAAAACATGCGTTTTCTATTTTCTGTGGTGTGGGGATACAAAGTCTGGTTTGGCCTGCAAGCATCGTAGAAGGACCTCGGCCTCAAAGCTTTCTGTCGAACCCGGGAGGAGATTGAACACAAAGGGGATCTAGATAATCTACTGCTGGGGCTTTTACGACCAGAACCTTTCAGACCTTGGTGTACAGTGCTCCTATAAAAAGTTTTAACCCTATGATGCAGATATGATGATGAGTCAAGCCCTTTTCTGTTTTGTGGGAAAATTTTAAAAGAGTGGAATTTATTTATTCAGTTTTTTTTTCCTTTATTGAATTAAGTACAATGTAATTGCGCTAAACCAGCTTGACAACTTGAATTAAACACTTAGGTGGTGGGTGCCTAGGACAGGGCTTTGTGGCACCTCACAATGCTGAGTTTACTTTAAAACTACATCAGTTTTAGGAAGATACTTACGGCAGCTATGAAAATTCTTTCAGATGCGTCAATGAATGAAAACGGCAATTCATTTGAAACTTTTTTAAAAGTACTGGACTAAAATACCAAAATATATTTGCGCTTAATTATTTTTCAAAGGCTCTTTGCTTTTTTTTTTGTTTTTCCATGAAGACTTTCCATGATGAAAAGTTTTGCAAGATGGTGGATTTTCTGCAGCCTTTTGTCCCATAACAAACAAACAAACAAACAAAAAAAACCTCCAAGTTACACTGACTGGTGTAACTCAAATGTGCCTTTCGGCGTGAGCGACAGTGAGCATGGTTGTTTACTTTATGTGTCGGCCATGACGACGGACTTGGCGAGCTGTCCTGCGTGCGCGCCGGCCGCCTCTCGGCTGAGATCAGCTCCGGTCCCCACACAACCCTGAGCAGGATTAAGTGATTTCAGAAAATGAGTGAGTGAGGTAGATTTTCAGCTCATTCAGTCATTTTGCTCTTTTTTTTTTTTTTTTTTTTTTTCGACAGTCGGCAGAAGAACTACGACTTGCAGCACATCCACAAGTGGTGTCGATAATTATAACATTAGCAGGCTGCGGTTTGATGAGATTGACATGATAATAATATATCATTAAAGTCATCACTTCTTAATGTAATGACTTAATCAAGGAACAGAAACCATAATGAGATGTGCTGTCATTTTTGTCGCGTTGCAGCGGCGGTTTCATAAGTAGCATATAACCCACGTGGTTCTCCATGAGCTACTTTTTTCAATTATTTTTTGTACTGTTCAACAAACACAATCACAGATGCCTCTGACTTTCGAGCAAAAATCACCATTTTCAACTCCACTCACCTCCAAAGGGGGCAAATGAATAAATGTCTTTTCAGCCCGGGAAGCATAACGCCTCCTAATGATTGTCTGCCAAAAGCAATGAAACATCCCATTAGATCATTTTTTTTTTTTTTTTTTCTTTTTTTTTTTGATGTCTTGCTGAGTTGATGTTAGGAGTGCTTAAACTGAATCCTTTTTATACAAATGCTGTAAATATACATATATGCAAATCTGCAAAAATATTAATTTCTCTGAGACGTCACACTTTGTCAAGTGTTGCATGATAAAGTAAATGAAATGTGTTTTAGGTTCAAAATACGAAAATCTGCAAAAAATAAAAAATAAAAAAATAAAAATAAATAAATTGAACATTTCCCTCCTTTTTCACAGTTAAGCTGTACTTTGTGCTGGTCTTCCGGGGAAAATCTCAATAAAACACCGTGTGAAAATGCAAAGCAAGGTGGGAGTATTTGTGACAGCAAAAGCGCAACAAGTAATCGCTTCTCGTATTTTGTCCCCTCCCTGCAGGTTAGCTGTAAGGTTCTGCACTTCTTCCACATGTACATGTTGGGCTGCAACTATTTCTGGATGCTCTGTGAGGGCATTTACCTGCACACACTCATCGTGGTGGCTGTGTTTGCAGAGGAGCAGCACCTGCACTGGTACTACCTGCTGGGCTGGGGTGAGTTTTTTGAGTCACAAGGCTGTTTCATAAAAACGTACAGGGTTTAGAATTATGACTGCAGCTTCTGGTTTTTGACACAGAATGTCAGATTGTGGACATGCTGACGGCTTTATAAGCCCTTTTGTGGGTTAATTTGACTCTAGTCGTTTTTTTCTTCCCTTTCTTTGAACCAGTGTGTCTGATAATCGTCACCATTTTAAATATTCAAGTCCTTGAGGCCGGGTTTTCTGAGAAGTGTGCAAAATGCCTTACTAAAGCGTCCGTAACCTTCGACCTTTTTCATATTTTATCCAACTTCAGTATACTTTACTTTGTTCTTAAAGACTTGACATAAATGAGCCCAGTATCAATAACCACTAACTTTTTGTTTCTACTTCACAATGATGAGCTACTATTTCATTAGACTTACAATAGGATACATTAAAGTTTGTGGTTTCAGTGCAACAAAATGTGAACAAATCAAAGGGATTTGCGTACTTTGCGATGGCTAAAGAAAAGTCTTTTTTGTTCATCTCCATCTGCAGTTGATCTGTTGCAGAGTGCAGTTGGTGTGTGAAAAATAAACTACACAAGGATTTTTGTGTTTGTGTCCAGAAAAGAAGTTTAAAAAAACTAAACAAAAAAAAAATCTGAGTCTAGTCTCCCCTGGAAGAATTTCAAATTACACTGAAGTGTCACTGAAAATCCCCCATGTGGCTTTTCATTTGTCACCGATGAAACAAAACGAGGATCGGAAGACGTATCAAAGCAAAAACCTTCAGAGATATTTTCTAAAGTAACGCCGTAAAGGAGCTCAGCACAACTAAGGGACGCATGATGATGAATGAGCGCTGCCTCATATGGTTGTCTTTTCCCCTTCCAGGCTTTCCTCTGGTGCCCGTGTCCATCCACGCCGTAGCGAGGAAAAAGTATTTTGACGACAAGTGAGTAATGTTCCATAAAGCTTGAGCAAATAAACAAAGAGCGGTTTACACATGTGTAGCGCCGTGCGCGGCGGAGTGAGAGCGTGCCGGCCTGTGCGCATATGTGTTTTCATAACGTGTGTGTTCGTGTGTTTCTTGGGCAGCGAACAGTTCTGACTGAGATATTTATTTATTTTTTTTCTTCTCGCTGTAGCTGTTGGATGAGCGTTGAGACCCATCTGCTCTACGCGGTACACGGACCCATAGTGGCAGCCCTTCTTGTAAGTCTGCTGCTTCCACTTAAGCTTCGTCGTGATTCACAGCTTTTGACGCAGGGCGGCGTTTGTTTGAACGCAAAATCGTCTTTTTTTGACTCAGGTCAACCTCTTCTTCCTGCTGAATATCATAAGAGTGCTGGTGACAAAGTTGCGAGACACCCACCGAGCCGAGTCCAACATGTACATGAAGGCGGTGAGAGCCACCCTGATCCTGGTGCCCCTGCTCGGGATCCAGTTTGTCATTTTTCCTTGGCGGCCGGAGAACCGTCTGGCCGGTGAGGTCTACGAGTATGTCATGCACATACTCATGCACTACCAGGTAGGTACCGAGATGCGGCATTAATCGAAAGTGCCAGATAAAGTCAAGAAAGAGTTAAAGGAGCAGACTGTTACAAGTTATGATGGTGCTGCTGTAATGCTCTGTGAATGGATGCCATTTCAGGCAGGCCATATAAATATTACGGTAGTAATGAGGGAAACGTATTAAAAGATTGCTTGTAATAATAAAATATCACGTTTTTTAAAAAAATGGAAACCAAACCTCAGTGTGCATCCAGAGTAAAACTCTCCCCTGTCGTCGTTGACATTTTGAATAGAAAAGGTTTTGGCTCACTTTTCAGATAGTACTTGTGTTGCTCCTGTTGGGGTCAGAAGTTTACATACACATGTGTGTCAAACAGGTTTGAGGCTCTGACAGGATTTATATGAATTCCTGTTAGTTTGTTTTTTGTTGTTGTTCATTGTTAGTTTTTAGCTTCTCTAAGCATATTTCACAACATCCTTGAATTAATTGAATTGAATATATATGGATCTAATGGTTTTGCAATGTGTCATGAGATGATCTTTGTTGTAAAAATAAAGCAAATGTAATAACTGTGGTTACTATGTGTTACTATGGCCTCGTAGCTCAGACTTTGCTAGCTTACTATAAGACTGTATCTGACGGGGGTCTTTGCTAAACGTAGTCGTAGTTTAACTGAGAGCTGCGCATAGTTACCATAAATGAGAGATCTGCATAGAATCAGTGGCCTGTTGTCAAGCTAGTTCTCTGGTTGTTTTAAACCCAAATGAGTTGTTTAATTTAACCAGCTAGCAACTAGCTTAGCCTTCCGACTCTGGTCAAGCACCGGCAGAAGCCATTAGGCTTTTCACTGCGGGAATTTCAAATGAACTCGAACATGTCAATTTTTACACATGTCCTCTTCGGGAACGAAAAATTAATTTAGCAGTAGAGAGTGACGTTGCTGTCCAGCAGCTGGTATTTCATTACTCGATCCTTAGTGGGTGCTTTTAGTCCTGAACATGCTAACCAAATTTTATTGATCACGGATAAATTGATTTATGGATGGATGGAAATGAATGATTTTTTTTTTTTTTTTTTTTTAAGGGTTTGCTGGTGGCAACAATATTCTGCTTCTTCAATGGAGAGGTAAGGAACACTCCTAATTTTACGCAAACTGTATTAAAAAGACTTTTATGTAAATACCAGTGCTTTTCCCATGATTTTCATCTAAAAATAGAGATGGATGTTAGGGAAAGTTGAAGAGGAGAACCCAAACCAGAGATAGAAAGGCAGATTTGGATACAAAAGGAAAGTCTCCACGCACGGGAATGAAAAACAAAAATACACCAGCTATATTTACAATTGCGGGGAGATGAAACAGTGTATAAATACCAAGAGAAACAGGGGAAATTGTCAAGGAAAAAAATTTTAATGAACAACAAAAAAGAGACACACGCTGCTGTTGATAAACTAATATATCCTCTTATGTTATGCATCTTATAATGCTGCCACACTGGTTTATTGTTGTTTTGAGAGTGAGAGAACATGGGCTAGTATTCTGACAATCTCTTAGTTTAGCATCCAGCAGCTGTCTATATATACTATATTTACATATACATTTATGACAGTGATCTATGAAAATACCTTATTTAGTTCAAGGCATTTAGACAAAAATCTGTGCTTCAGTTTTAGCATAGTCTTGCAAGGATTAATTTATAATTACATTTTTTAAAAAAAGTATTGGTGGTGGTGAAAGAGTAAAGCGAAAAATGGAATTAGTATAAGGCTTAAGTAAATCTGCTTATTCTGTAGTATTTTTTTTCTCTTTTTACCTTTTTTACTTTAAATATTACCACTGAAACTAAATAATTGATTTTAGATGGCTAATTACATTTGATTCACAAGCCCTGACATTGCTGCTCAACAGGCATCCCAACTTTACTTAAAAAAACAACACCACACACACACACACACACACACACACACACACACACACACACACACACACACACACACATGCAGACTTTACCGTAGTAGAAATAGTGGACAACGCTCTGTCAGTTTTCACACTAAAAATGTCCAAACACCCAATTATCTTTCACATGAACAAGAGCCGTGTGTCACAGTGGGGCACTGAAACAGTGAGGGAGGGGCAATTTCAGAGTCAGAGTATTCCTTATTGCTGGAGAAAACTCACCCCTCTTTGGGTGAGTTGTCCATGGCTCCTTAACAAAGATCTTCAAACTGTAAAAAAAAAAAAAAGAAAAACATCTGTAGACTTTAAAATTCAACTTTTTAAAGTCTAGGTGTATCTATGTGGTTAGCAGATAGACTAGTTATCAGTTGCCCTCATTTTAGACCAGTGGTTCTTAACCTGGGTTCGATCGAATCCCTGGGATTCGAATCCCTGGGATTCGATCGAACCCCAGGGGTTCGATGAGTCGGTCTCAGGGGTTCGGTGGAGCCTCTGCCGCGGAGGTAAAGACACACTTGTGTAAAGTCGTGATGACGCCCCGCTTTGCCATCACTTGCTGCAGAGGATCATGTTACATTGCTGAGCCAATCAGAGCTGCGGAGGAGCACTGATTGAAGGAGTTACACTCTCTGCATGGATTTGAACTTGTGTCTTTAATTACTTCAGCAAAACTCATCGTTTTTACCAAATTCTGTAGCTTTCGGTGTACTTCTAAATCTGCTCCTTAGTCGCGTCTTTTCGGGGTTGGTACTGCCTCTAGTGGCGTGAGGGTGGTAACACAACTAATATAATTACATTACTAAATCAGAATACCGCAAAGTCTTTATTATTTATTATAAATTTTTCATTCTTTTAAGGATGTAGAGCTTATTAAATGATCTAAACAAGACCTTAAAGTGGTTCCAGTTTCTCTCGATGGCCAACCTGCTGAAACTGTGGCAAATTTTAAATACCTTGGGTCGTTCCTGGACAGTCAGCCCAACTTTGCTGAAAACACTGACTATATTTTGAAGAACTGTTCTCAGAGACTCTGCCTTTTAAGAAGACTTAGTGATCTTGTCTATGTCCTGAATTTGGGGGGGAAATCATATTTTATTTATCACTACAGAAGGGTTCAGTGAATGCGCATATGAAACTGGTGGGTTCGGTACATCAAAAAGGGTTAAGTCCCTCTGTTTTAGATTGTTCCTTTATAATTCCTGTAGTCCATGTTTTGACATGACTTTGCTATCCTGAATGGGGCAATTGCCCTTTTGTAAAGGTCAGCATCCACCTGTTATCCTGAGACCTGCTCAGCCATAAAGCTGCTCACTGCTGGAGGCATTATTTTTGGGACATCTGGCATCATCAGCTAAGACATGTTTGGATTTTATTTTTAGGTTGTATCTCTTCCATATGTATCTGCTCTTGACACTATGTCAAAATGTGAAACATGGACACTAAATACAAGGTCAAAGTTTTGTTTGTAGTAGGTTTTAAGTTCCTTTTGGTTCTTGTCCCTTAGAAACCCAATCTGAAGCCGGTTAATGCAGAAAGGTCACATCAAGTGACGAGTCAGACTAGGCATATAATGACTGTTTGGGATGCCGAGCTTAACTGGAAATTAACTTTCCTTTCACATCCCCATGTCAGCCCTTCTAAATCTGTCGGCAGCTGAGAGACAAACATCCTTAGCTGGATTTAGATCTCTTACGAACATTTGCTTACGAGGTTAATGAGCTTGTGGAGACTTCTAGGCTCTCCGACATCAATGAGTGAAAGACGCTTTTAAGCTTCACGTCTTCAAGAAGCTTGAATTGAAGGTTTTTATCACCTTGTTCTGGTGCATTGCAGCTTAAACTGCGTACAAAGAGCAGACCGTTAAACTCAACCATCTGTGTGAGATTTTGGCAGAGCAAAACGGTGAAATTTGAAAACTTGCTTGACGTGCAGCAGCGCGCTAAAGAATTTGCACCTCTGGAAAAAAAAATCTTTTCATCTTTTCATGGTGTGGTCTGTAACTTCAATGATTTTAATTGGGTTTTCACAAAACAAAGCAGTATTTAATTGTGATGTAGGAGAAAAAAAAGATGTTTCATTTTCCTGCCTGTTTAATGCAGAAGCACCATTGAAATAAATAATTATTTAAACATACTTTATATTAAATCCACATTTCTGTATTAAAAAAGACTTTATTTTTTTACCGGTCTGATGTAATGTTCTAAGTTTCCATTAGCTGTATGTGAAAAACCATCATAATTATCTGTGTGTAACCAATGTAATCCATGCTGTTTCATTTAGTGAATTAAGATACTAAGATAAAAAAAAATAACATTAATTCTAATTTGTCAAATGTACATACTGGCATATTTTAAGCATATAGTCACGCTCAGCAAATGTTCTGATCTCTGTTAGTTAAACAAAAAGTTCCTTTTTTGCTCTGTTTCACAACGATGCTGTGAATTTTGTGGTTGTAAGACGACGACATATGACGGAATAGCTTAGCAAAAGCAATGTGAGCTGAGGTCGGCCGTTCCTGTGTATTTTTCGTGGAATAAAAACCTGTCCCGTCAACAGTCCGTCCCTCGGTTAGACGATGACATATTGTTTTATGAACTCAAGCAGAAGGCTCGAGTTCATAAAAACGAAGGCCAAAACAGTCAAGCACACAACAAGCAGATGTTGGCGCAAACCGACAAAAGTCATCCTACCGTGGAGTTAGGGTTTCTGCCTTGTGTTTTTCAAAACACGTCAGCTATTAACTCCTACACGAGCAGCCAGGAGAATCGTCTGAAACTATGTAAACGACTCTGTGAGTGAAAACAACGTGCAGCGCACATGTTTAAAGGGCAAGCGCACAACCTGTCAGAGGGGAGCGAGCGAGGTTTGTTTTTCTTCACCCACATAACGACCAATTCATGCGCCCTTAATCAGGACAAGAGTTTCTGGGGCTGGGCTCAATTCACTTTTTTTTTTTTTTTTTTTATTTCAAGGCCAAGCTGCACAGACCTGCCTTGTTTCATCAATGGCCCTATTGTGACGCGAGGGCAGCCAGACAAACAGCTTCCAAGTTGTGTTTGTGTCGTCAACCAAGATGTCCTACATGGAAGCTTTAAGCCTCAGCTGCTCTTTTGTCTCATTACGACAATTAGCAGCTTCATTAATATCATTACGGCGCTATGCGGTAACGTGCTCACACCAGTATCGGTGTGCTGCTCCGAACAAACTGGTTTACACTGAGCTTCTGGTGCGATCGCGACCCAGTACGGAGTTTGATTAGTGTGAACATGTCCCCACAAAACATGACACGAGCACGCATGACATGTTCTGCATAGATTGTCTTTCACTAAGCAAATCTTTACAAAGAGACGCATCTTTTCCACAGTAGCAGCGCAGCCCTGCAGGCTTTGAGATGTAATGAGTGAGAACTGACAAGTTCTCCTCCGAGTTGATGTGTGATACTGTTGAAGCAAAAATAAAACTGTTCTGGTAGAAAAATATACCAAGAACTGTAAAAGATTTACCTTAGTACAGTAGCAGAAAAGGCGTCATTACTCATAAAAAGAGCCATATTTCTTCCACTAGAATTATAATACTGGTACAGAGCAAATAATATTAAATGAATGTATGTTTAATTTTTCTAAACTTTTGATTGGCTGTCTTAAAGGTTGAATGTACACCCAGGAAAAAAACACACACAAAAAAACACATTCTCAGTAAATGATTTTGTGATATGGTTTCAAAGACAAACCCTGCCTTTGATTTGCCTTAATTTAAAAAAAAAAAAGTCATATTGCGGTCATCTACATTACATTAACATGACAATGTGCATTTGCTGAACTATCATCGTTCTGCCCTTGCTGCCTCTCTCACTTCACACCTTCTCACCAACTCGTCTCTACTACCAACTCAGAGGTGTAATGTTTGACTCACTTTCTCACTGTTAGCCTCTCATTACTGCAGTACAGACCCTGTCAGCAAGCAGCAAACAGCAGTCTAAAAGAAAACCTTCAACAAAAACAAGCGAGGCTGAATCCAATGAAAGAGTGAATATTCACAGCAAAATGTTATATAAACTTGAAATACCTAAAAGTATCACTTGGATCGCTAAACTTTTTTTTTTTTTTTGCTTCCACTTGTTGAACGCAGGCAGATTTTCTCTGCAGAGACATCTACTGTTTAAAAGGAGAACTGCAGTAAGCGTAGTGGACCTGAAACAGCGGGGTCAGCTCTGTTCACGTTGAAGCCAGAATGCCGAGGCTATTTACATGAGTGTTTATAAAATGAATCGCAGATTCCTTTTACCTAGAATTTCAATTTAAAAGCAAAGTTTCCGCCATGCCTATCTGGAGGCTCAAATCTGTGTTACTGCAAATGCCGGGAAAGTTAAGGATCACGGCAATGTGAGTCACGGGTGTGTAGCCTGAAAATTTCTTTCATTTTAAGGCTGGCGGTCACTTCATCCTGCCTCCGTCACTTTGCAAAAATCTGTTTAAGTCAAGCGACCTAGTTTTGTCATCTGTTTAAATCCTCTGGGGCCTGCGTGGGGCTCTCTCTGCGGCTCAGATTTGTTTCTGAATCCTCACCTCACACAAACCGTGTGCAGTCTGACCCAATCTCCTGCTCCCCTTTAAGAGGGAATGATAGGGCAGCAGACACTACTAAGTGAAAATAAGGAATGTTGGTAAATTATTTTTCTTTTTTCTCAATTTTGACAACATGCTCTGACTCAGAAATGTCATTCTTAACTTTCCTTTCTGACACAGTGATTGTTATTGCAGTTTTGCAGAGACCCTTTGACCTCGATGTAAGAAGCCATTTCTCTCTCTCTCTCTCCATCAAGACTGCACCTTCTGTATTCTCTGCAGACGCTCGTATTTCATTTGTGAGGAAATGCAACTTAAACGCGATGCGAAACAGTTAACACCTGTAGCGAACGGTGGCTGAGTTTGCGTGGGCTTGCCATTAGCGCTGTTTGCTTTGTGAATGAGATGCGGAGACAGAGTAGAAGAAAAAAGTTGAGTCCGTAAGATGTTTTTTAATGAGTCAGAAGCTGCTCAGTGCACTAATTAGGTTTAAATAACTTGTTGCCTCCTTAAGTATTTTAATGGCTGCAGCAATTTTCCAACAAACTACATATGTTCTGTTCGTCACAGTGAATCTGCAAGAATCTCTGTCAGTCCGTCTACGCAGCAAAGCCTCCGACTCTTGTCAGTCGCCGTCCCTGCTGAATTTTGTATTTGCGAGATAATTGCGTTTCTTTATATAACACCGCGACTGATTAACGCGCTAAAGACGAAAGAGAGAGGGGTTTTCAGGGATTACTTCCAGTAAGTCATCAGGCTAGTAATGGATTTTGAGATGTTACAGACTGGATTTGATTCATTTGCTTATTAAAAGTGTTTTCTGTGTCAGATGCTCACAGTAAGACTCCGTTAATGAACTAATTTCTCAAGTTCCTCTCTGACACTGAAATGGCTGCAAACAAACATGTCGATGTGGAAAAATCTGCACCCTGTTATTTTTATCAGACTGAAAAATGTCAGACAAAAATCTGGAAGCTCTTTTACTCGTACCTTTTAGATTTTATTTGTTATAGGAACAAATTCGTTACGGCACTAATGGTAGAAAAAAAAAATGCCTGGATTAAAGATTGCACTCCTACTCTTATGAGCTGATTTGTCCCCAAGCAAAACCTCATCGCAAGACCTTTCAACGGGATCCGTCCGAAGCTGCAAAAGAAATAGTTCACAGCTCAGCATAATTATGAATTAAAATGGCCCAGTCAAAGCCCGGTTATAAATCCAAATGAGAAGCTCATGTAAAGACTAGAAAATGACCGTCAACGCAAACTATGCACCCAATCTGGTGAACATGGACTATTCTGTGACTTCAGCTCAAAATGCAGCTAGAGATGTTTTTCTTTTTAAGCTTTGACTCGGGGTAGTTGAACACAAATGCACGCTGTGCTTTTTTTTTTTTAATTCTTACGAGCTAGAAAAATATCAGACAAACATTTATTCGTTCCTTCGCCTTTTCAGAATCACACGATCTGTTAGTCTCATAAGACCCCAACAAAATACGTCAAAGTCTGTGGTTTGTGACGTGACAAGAGTGTAAAAACGTGGTTCGAATATGTTTGTGAGGCTCCGCGTCAGTTGCGATCAGTGTCAGTTTGATGAATATTCTCGCATAATGTCGGTTACGTGGTGTCTGCCCTCTAACCCCACACCGAAACCACACGATGTAAATCTAAATGTCTGCTGGAGCCATTAGGAGAGCAGATGGGAGGAATAAAATAAAAGATGTTGAATTTGGGGGCAAATGTTTTCTTTTTAGTCTTTTTTTTATTATTATCATTTTAATAAGACCTGTGCATTTTTTTTATTATTATTATTTTTTTTTTGTATGTCTGTTTCTGTGTCCTTCAGGTGCAGGCGGCTCTGAAGAGACAGTGGATGCAGTACAAAACCCAGTGGGGTCAGCGACGGAAGGACCACTGCTCGATGCGCTCCACGTCCTACACGGCCACCTCCATCACCGAGGTGCCGGCCTTCATGTACCACCACGAGTGCAACGCCGAGCACCTGAACGGCTGCCACACGAAGGACTCGGAGCTGGTGGCGCTCAAATCGGGAGACACGTACGCTTAGACTGCGCTTTAGAGTCGGAGCGCGACGGCAGACACACACCACGCCGAGTCAGAAAAGGAGAAAACGATTCCGTTCTAGCCGCCTCATCTCAGCGAATAAGTCTCGGAGGCTAATTTGTCCGGCACGGGGGGGGGGAGTGGAGGGGGTGAATGTATACGGGTCTGAGTCGGAGCGCTCGCCGGGGAGAGAGAGGATTAGCTACGAGACTGAAGCATTTTATTTACACTTTACTCTTACGTTGCTGCTGCAGCTCTTTTTTTTTTCCCAGCCCCCCCGAGAACATTGATGTCGAGAACTTGCGATGCGAGAGGAGAGAGCTGTTCATGATGTCTGCTGACTTTCTAAAGCTGCTATTCTGTTGTGTGTGTGTGTGTGTGTGTGTGTGTGTGTGGCTCGGCTCACAGAGACAGAGAGGAAATCAAATTACTGCAAACTGGGGTGCTTTCTGTTCTTGACAACAGTACTAAATGTGACACTTCAGTGGGTGGCGGTTCTAACGCTTTACGACTTCGACAAACGGAGTCGTACCATTATTATTATTATTCCTATCAAGCTGAGGACCACATCATTCCTGACCTCACCTATACCAAAGGGTGCTGTTTGTTCATCACAGCTACGAGGACGGAAAGCAGAGGTTCAACATCCCTTCACACACGTTAAGTTAATATGACATGGAAGACGTAACATTTCTAGACACTATTTTATCCCTACAGTTCTGGAATTATGTACATATATGTATGTTAAATTTTGTTTTCTTTGACAAAAGGTGTTTTCAGTGTTTTAAAATGACTTTATGCTTCAATTTCTGTTTGCGTTTTACTTGTTAGTTCCTAACTCTGTGCTACCCGTGCGTCCCGTGATGCTACATTCCTGACGGCTTTGTTGTTTCAGAGTTGCTGTGTCTGTGCCGATGCCGAATATCAACAGGGCTGAGAGGTAAAGTGCATATTCTAGACAGAAAAAAAAAGAGAGAGAGAAAGATATAAAGGGTTTATCAGTCACAGGAGTTCATTTTGCTGAGCTAAGTGGAGAGCGGCATCAGCTTTGCCCGGAAGTCCTGATAAAAAAAAAAAAAAATGTATTATCGCTCCTTCTTGAAGCTCTCTGCGGTTCGTCCTCGGCCGTCGTAGCGGTGCGTTCCTCTGTCCTCCGTGCGTACATGCAGGGGTTCGTTTCATAGCCTTCTGTGTGACTGACAAAAAAGATGTGGGCGCAAATCTTAGTGTTACACTGAAGAGAACCAACCGAAGTCACAACTTTTACACGAGGGCACAAACGTAATTTATTAACTTATTCTTTCCTTGTTTTCTCCACTCTCTTAATTTAAACAGTTTTGGTTAACTGCTCTAATCATTGTGAAGATTAATGTTTTAATTTTAGGCTTTTGATGATTCGTTTGAGCTATTTTTGTGTCAGGATGGAGTGAAAAAAAAAATAAAAGTCTGTATCCAAATGTGTAGAATAGCTGCCAAAGTTAACCTACAGCTAAATTTGAGAAGTAAAAGGTTTTTCAAGTAATGTTTTAAAGATTGTTCCTACTTTAAAGTTGGATCTTTACTCTTCACTGCCCCTGTCTTTACTTTGGGTACATGCCGTCCGTCTGCCAGTCCGGAGCTGGAATCTTAACCCTCTCATTCTTCTTCAGCCCTGACGGTGCCTCACACTTTGACGGTGCCTCAAACACGGCAGATATGTTTCTAAGTACCTCTTCAGCCATTCTGTTGTTGAATTTGGTGCATGTTTTACCTGTTTCCATCTTACACCTCACATTAAGTACCTTGCCTCTGCAGGAAAGGTAAGTAGGCCTTTCCTGCATCTTGGGTCTTAATGATATGGTTGACGCCGGTTTCTATTGCTATTCTGCTATGTGCCTGTCGTTGGATCTGGCATGAGCAGCGCCTCAAACTATTCCTCAATCCAACCTTACCTCCCTATTGGTAGGAATTATCAATACCGGCCAATCAGTCCGCATGTGATACATGCTTAACCTTTCAAGATGGTTCCTCTTTGTCCTTCTCTTGCGCCTTCGATTCCTGTCTCCAGAGACATTCACTTAGCAGTCCTCAAAGAGGGAGGCCACCTTCCTGATGTCCTCCAAGACCTTTGCTGGGTTATTCAGCATGGTGGTTTTGATGCTCAAAGGGTGAAGGGTTAGGTTTAGGTTTTCTCTTATTGTTCAGTCTCGGGGTGGTTGACTTACAATGAAACCCCCATAAGGAACTTGCGGCCTGCTCAGCTATCTGTTTGTTACGGCGTCTCCATGGCCTCCACCTCTAACGGCAAGTCGTACACCTCTTTCAGCAGCTATTCAGTCTGACGCCTTGACGAACTCTTCTTTAGGCTGCCTCTAGCTGTTTGAAAAACACAAATCACGGCAGCAATGTGACCCCTCATCAATGGAGATCAACTCATTAAACCTTAGAAGACACGGAGAGTAACTCAGCAGTGCTACGTTCGAGATTTCTCCCATTCTAAAGGACAGAACAAAGTGCGCCACTTCTCAGAAAACATCTCCTCGGTATTTAATATAATGTCTTACATCAGATATATTTGGTCATCCCTTCACAACAAAGTGCTGTTCTCAATTTGGTTCTCTTCAAGCATCACTGCTACGTAACAAACTCCCGTCAGTTCTCTCTCTTTCTCTCTCGAACCATCTGTTGTACGTCAATGGCAAGAATTGACAAGCATGGACTCGCTGCAGTTGCAACATAACATTGTCGGACCACAAAGCTGCCAAAGGATTTGTTTTTGCTTCATGATCAGAACTTCTTTGGATGGGTCTAGGAAGAGAGTGATTTACACGGTCACTGAAACTTGACAAATTTTTTTTACATTTAAAACAATCTTCAAAAATCCCAGAGGGCTATTACGCAAGAAGACCACATTAAATGAGTCAAAGAAAGTCAGGCTTCTTTGGAAATCATTAAAAAAAATGTTAGTACTGTAGTTAGTACTGTATGTCTGAGGGTTTTTTTATTATTATTATTTATCAGCCTTTTGCCAATAGGAAAAGAAGAGTGACAATCATTGATAGAAGAGCGGTTTTACAAAAAAAAAAAAAAAAAATGTCACGTCCTAAAAATGTACATGTTCTATTTTATTATTAAACTCATCCTCCTCTTCGCTGTATGGTTATGGTCTTTTATCTAGTTGGTCCACGTTCGGCTCCAGTCACCGGCTCCACACCACGTTTGACTGTGGAAACGACGTTCTTCTTCTGAAAAGGTTCGTGTTGGTTTCATGCCAGATGTAAAATGGAATTTAATCGGCCGCCGGACATTTTTGTAGAAGTCGGTTCGCTGAAACCGGACCCTCAGACTGGGTCTCCTCCTTACGAACCTCCATCAACAATAGATGACGCATCATCACATTTAACTCAGTTCTTTATCTAGATGTCTTTCTTCATGACACATGTAAACTTACTTTGTTTTGGCGTGAAAGTAGTTTCTTGATTCTGCGATTAAAGAATATAATGAAGCCATTATTTGAAACTTTTTTTAATTTTATTTAGTTAGGTAACCTTTAATATTTGATGATCTGAAAGTGCGATAAGCTCATTCACCGTAATTATGATTCTACGGTAATTAAAAACAAATCTGCTGAAATTGGTATTGGCAGGTCAAAACATCCCATTAGTTCTGTACTGGTGCATTTCTTCCTTCATCACATGCTGTTACATGGAAAGTCAGTTAAAAATAAAACATGTAGCACTTCATTAATCCCTCATCAAAAGGTTTCTTAATTTCCTTTTCAGCTCATTATTAAATAAAGCACAAACTTTGTTCCAGCTCTCATTGCAACATGCTCTGATTGCTCAGCCGCCTGCTCCCATCCAGCCAACGCCATTCTTGTCAATATTTCAGGGCTGACAGATTTTGTATAATGAGTGAGCGGGGAAAACAAAAGACAGCCCTACACCATGTGGCGTCTTGCTTTATAATCCCACGAGCTTGGCAGTGATCTACAGCCCCGTTTTTTTTTTTTATTCAGACGCTTCTGCTGGAATCACACCAGCATCAAAATGTGTGTAACGGGACAAAATCGACTGATGCAGATCGTCCTGGAGATGAGATGGAGGCATGCTCACTATTTGATGGAGAGAATAAAAAGCCAATATTTTACAAAGGAAAAGTTCCTTGGAATATTTTTCAGCTTTTATGCGGCCACCTGCTCCACAGTTGATCATTTCAGGCTCTGCCGAATCCGGGACGGCGATGAGAAGAAGACATGCTGTCCTCGCTGCGATGAATACAGTTCCCCTCATCAGCTCAACACCCATTTCATCAAGAAGGCTGAATGCCTGTATGTGCTGCTCGGTGCAAATTCCTGAACTTATATGCAAAGTATAGTGACTATGATTAGAAACGGAAATATTACGCATTGAGGGAGATGCGTTGAAACCCGTTGGTGTGGATTTTTCTCTGCTGAGATCAGTGAAAAAAAAAAAACCAAAAAGGCAGCTGGAAGAGGAAGCTCGAAATCACGTGGAGAAGTTTCCATCTTGGGCTGAGAAGCTGACGGTTTTGGCATTTCAGAAGGCCTCCTGACAGCACCAATGTCACAGCACACTGGACCAAACCCGAATCGCTCCTCGCCTTGAGAGCTCAGAAATTGCCTGTGAAGGTGACGGCGTGTGCGGCTTTAAGTCAGCAGAGTGATGGAGGGCAGGACAGCGTCTCGTGTCGAAATGTTTGAACGTTTTCAGCCCGGATGAGCAAATTCACTCGAAAGCCTACTCAAAACAATTATCAGATGCTGGTGTGTTAAAACAAAAAACTGGGAGTATCATATAGGATGGTGCCTTTTCACAGCACAATAAAGGAGTTTTTTTTTTTTTTTCTTACTAGAATTTCTTTATCGTCTCTCACCTCTTGCTGCTGTGAAAATGAACCGAGCTCACAGTCACGGTCCATCGACAGGCCATGCCTGGAGCCCCCAGAAACCAAAGGTCACTGAAATGTAACCCCTTTTTTTTTTTTTTTTTTTTTTCCATTTGTTTGAAAGGGAAAAACGCAACGAGAAGACAAGCGTGTCAGTAAAACTGACTGGTGACTGGTGAACAATGATGGTGTTAATGTAAAATAGCCTTGCTTTGTGCACTAATGCGCCTTACTGTGCCTACTTGGAACACGTGTCCAATTTTTGATCTTTGATTTCAGTGAAGTCTTTTCTAAAATAAAATAAATCAAATGAAAGTTGTAGCGTAAAATATTATAGAAAGAGGAACAGAGGCAACATCACAAAGTGTTTTAGAGAGATTTTATAATTATGTTAAAACTGTTAGTATTTATTTGTCTGTTTATTCCCCAGAGATTACATACCCTCTACCTTCATTCTGAGATTTCCAAAACTTCTGCCAAGCCAACCATTTCTAAACCCAGCATTTTGAAAACTAAAATGGATTAAAAAAAAGCTTAGCGTTTAATCTGACTTCCTTTTTGAACACATCGCTCATAAATTCCCCTCTGAAGAGACTTTTTGTTAGTCCTGGTCAATCACCGTTTAGCAGCCAATAACGTTGAAAATCGCTCCGTTCCAGTCCCCCGGACGAGTTTGCGTCGCATTTCTAAAAGTAAATGATTGAAGACTTAAATTCTTTCCTCTTTCATGCTCATGTTTTTGATCTATTGGTCTGCGAAGTTGGACAGTGACTGCTTTCAGTGACATGGTGTCCTTGCAGTTTGGAAGCCAATCTGTTGATTTGAGGACCCAGAAGCACTGTCACCAGAATTTTTCCTTCTTTTTTTTTTTTTTTTTTTTTTTCTGTTGCATACTTCTTTTCCACACATTTTCAAATTTATTTCAAAACTCTGTGTATTTTTATTTTTTTTTCCCCTCCAGCGGTTTCACCTGGCCGCTCTGTCCTCGACCTCCAACCCCTGCTGTTAACATACCGCACGGCTGCCACCGTTCGTTTGACAGACGGCCTTTGTGGTTTCCGCCCTTTTTTCCAGTGTTCGGAGTGAACGGATCAGTCCCTGCCTTTCTTTGAAGTGAATGAATTTTTTGTTTTTGCTTACACAAGTCTCAAGCTGTGCTTTCAGGACGATGAGAGCCCAGTTGAGGTCATAAGGCGTCGACAGTACATGTGTAACGGCGCAGGCCTTTGGGAGACAGACAATATTTTAGGTGTATTGAATTTGCAGAAAAAAGTTCATGAATCTCTCTCACAGGGACTACAACAGTATGCACCGTTTTAGGCAGCATTATAAATCACTATCAGGGAACTTGGCAGTTTCCACTTCATGATATGCTTAAGCCTTATTGTCCCTTACTATTCGAATCATGTTTTTCTCCTCAGCTAAACATGATAGTTGAATGCTGGATGTAACTGGGTATCCTGAGAGGACAAAGATCCCCAACACACAAACTAGCTGTGGAATAGCCAGAGGAAAGTAACCCTTTCATGCATGAATTGTGGTCCTTTGTGTCAGGATTTTTTTCNGTTGTACGTCAATGGCAAGAATTGACAAGCATGGACTCGCTGCAGTTGCAACATAACATTGTCGGACCACAAAGCTGCCAAAGGATTTGTTTTTGCTTCATGATCAGAACTTCTTTGGATGGGTCTAGGAAGAGAGTGATTTACACGGTCACTGAAACTTGACAAATTTTTTTTACATTTAAAACAATCTTCAAAAATCCCAGAGGGCTATTACGCAAGAAGACCACATTAAATGAGTCAAAGAAAGTCAGGCTTCTTTGGAAATCATTAAAAAAAATGTTAGTACTGTAGTTAGTACTGTATGTCTGAGGGTTTTTTTATTATTATTATTTATCAGCCTTTTGCCAATAGGAAAAGAAGAGTGACAATCATTGATAGAAGAGCGGTTTTACAAAAAAAAAAAAAAAAAATGTCACGTCCTAAAAATGTACATGTTCTATTTTATTATTAAACTCATCCTCCTCTTCGCTGTATGGTTATGGTCTTTTATCTAGTTGGTCCACGTTCGGCTCCAGTCACCGGCTCCACACCACGTTTGACTGTGGAAACGACGTTCTTCTTCTGAAAAGGTTCGTGTTGGTTTCATGCCAGATGTAAAATGGAATTTAATCGGCCGCCGGACATTTTTGTAGAAGTCGGTTCGCTGAAACCGGACCCTCAGACTGGGTCTCCTCCTTACGAACCTCCATCAACAATAGATGACGCATCATCACATTTAACTCAGTTCTTTATCTAGATGTCTTTCTTCATGACACATGTAAACTTACTTTGTTTTGGCGTGAAAGTAGTTTCTTGATTCTGCGATTAAAGAATATAATGAAGCCATTATTTGAAACTTTTTTTAATTTTATTTAGTTAGGTAACCTTTAATATTTGATGATCTGAAAGTGCGATAAGCTCATTCACCGTAATTATGATTCTACGGTAATTAAAAACAAATCTGCTGAAATTGGTATTGGCAGGTCAAAACATCCCATTAGTTCTGTACTGGTGCATTTCTTCCTTCATCACATGCTGTTACATGGAAAGTCAGTTAAAAATAAAACATGTAGCACTTCATTAATCCCTCATCAAAAGGTTTCTTAATTTCCTTTTCAGCTCATTATTAAATAAAGCACAAACTTTGTTCCAGCTCTCATTGCAACATGCTCTGATTGCTCAGCCGCCTGCTCCCATCCAGCCAACGCCATTCTTGTCAATATTTCAGGGCTGACAGATTTTGTATAATGAGTGAGCGGGGAAAACAAAAGACAGCCCTACACCATGTGGCGTCTTGCTTTATAATCCCACGAGCTTGGCAGTGATCTACAGCCCCGTTTTTTTTTTTTATTCAGACGCTTCTGCTGGAATCACACCAGCATCAAAATGTGTGTAACGGGACAAAATCGACTGATGCAGATCGTCCTGGAGATGAGATGGAGGCATGCTCACTATTTGATGGAGAGAATAAAAAGCCAATATTTTACAAAGGAAAAGTTC